CAAGGAGAAGTTGAGCGGGCCAAACTTTCTTGATTGGCAAAGAAATTTGCGCATTGTATTAATGCAAGAGCAAAAGGAATACGTCCTTGATGAGGAAATGCCCGACGCTCCCAATGAGGAGGTCACTCAGGCTGCCCTTAACCGATGGCAAAGTGCCAATCGGGATGTCAAATGCATCATGTTGGCCACTATGTCTCCGGACCTTCAAAAGACTTTCTTTGAAAAGGAGACGGCTTTTGAGATCATTTCTGAGCTTCAGAATATGTTTCAAGAGTAGGCCCGAACTGAAAGGTTCGAAACCCACAAGCAGATCCTTGAAAGCAAGCTCAAGAAAGGAGAGCCAGTCAGCCCGCATGTCCTCAAAATGATTGGATTATTTGAGAACATGGAAAGGCTTGATGTTGGGTATTCAACCGAGATGGCAATTGACATCATTCTCCACTCGCTTCACAAAGGCTATGATCAGTTCAAAATGAACTATAATATGCATAGTATGGAGAAAACCCTCACCGAGCTTCATGGTATGTTAAAGCAAGCCGAGCAAACCCTCAAGGATGAGGGCAAGCATGACATGCTCATGGTGAGGAAGGGCAAGCCATTCAAACGTCCGGGCAAAAAGAAGAGCTTTAAAGGGAAAAAGAAGAAGTTCCCGCCTAAGTCAAAATTTGCCAAGGGCAGCAAGGACAAAAAGGCTACCTCTTCTAAATCTGATTCCGTATGTTTCTACTGCAAAAATAATGGACATTGGAAACGGGACTGCCTCAAATTCAAGGAAGATAAGAAGAACGGCAACGTTGCTTCTTCATCAGGTATTTTCGTTATAGACTTAAACTTCGCTAGCAAAACATCGTGGGTATTAGATACCGGATGTGGCTCACACCTTTGTTCCAATGCTCAGGGACTAAGGATAAATAGGAGGCTAGAGAAGGGAGAGGTCGAGCTTCGGGTCGGCAATGGAGCAAGGATGTATGCCGTCTCCGTTGGAACTCTCAGTTTGCCTTTGCCCTCAGGGCTTATTCTAGAACTTGAAAACTGCTATCATGTTCCAAGAGTTACCAAAAACATTATTTCAATATCGGGAATTTCGAATCAAAAACAATAGTTGTTTTATCTATTTTGATATGTTTTATATGGTAAGGCACATTCAGAAAATGGTCTTTATGTGCTTTCACTAGACAAACAGGTTTATAACATCGATAATGCTGCCAAAAGGGCTAAGACCATCGATTCGAATCAAACCTACTTGTGGCATTGTCGTCTTGGCCATATTAACATCAAACGCATCAAGAAACTTCTTCAAGAAAGTGTTCTTGACCCATTCGACTTAGAGTTGTTTGAAAATTGCGAAGGATGTCTATTAGGCAAGATGATAAAACAGCCATTCTCCAAGTTAGGAGAAAGAGCAAGTGACTTATTAGGTCTAATACACACGGATGTATGTGGACCAATGAGTACACCCGCAAGACAAGGTTACCGATATTTCATCACTTTCACCGACGATTTTAGTAGATATGGCTATATCTACTTAATGTCGAATAAATCTGAATCCTTTGAGAAATTCAAAGAATTTCAGAAAGAAGTTGAAAATCAACTTGGCAAGAAAATTAAAGCACTTTGATCGGATCGAGGTGGCGAATATTTGAGCCATGAATTCGACGATCACTTGAAAGAAAATGGTATTCTTTCAGAGTTGACACCTCCCGAAACTCCTCAATGGAACGGAGTGTCCGAACGGAGGAATCGAACCTTGTTAGACATGGTTCGATCAATGATGGGTCTTAGTGAACTCCCTATCTCTTTCCGGGGACATGCGCTACAAACTGCAGCACTAACACTAAACAGAGCTCCGTCAAAAGCTGTTGAAAAGACTCCATATGAATTATGGACTAAGAAACCTCCTAGGTTGTCTTTTCTCAAGATTTGGGGATGCGAAGCATATGTCAAACGATTAATTTCGGACAAATTTCACCCCAAATCAGATAAGTGTTTCTTTGTGGGATACCCAAAAGAAACCAAAGGATATTACTTCTACAATAAATCCGAGAACAAAGTGTTTGTTGCTCGTGATGGTGTCTTTTTGGAGAAGGAACACCTTTCCAAAATGACAAGTGGGAGGAAAATCGAACTCGACGAAGTTCGAGAGAACGAGCAACAATGTCAACCTGATAAAACTGACAATCTAAGTGCTTTGGAAGCAGCTGAGAAGATTGGTCAAAATCAAACAGACAATGTAAATGCTCAACCGATTACCCTTCGTAGGTCGCCGACAAAGATCTCAACCAGACAGATGCCTCGGTATCGTCTTAACCGATGATCAGGACATTCTAGTCATGGATGGTGATGAGCCAGCGACATACAAGCAAGCTATGACGAGCCCCGACTCTGCAAAATGGCAAGAGGCCATGAGATCCGAGATGGACTCCATGTCTGAAAATCAAGTCTGGGACTTGGTGAATTTGCCCGAGGGTTATACACCCATTGGTTGCAAATGGATCTTCAAAGTGAAGACAGACAAGGATGGAAATGTATCGATATACAAAGCTAGACTGGAGGCAAAAGGTTATAGATAAATCCACGGGATTGACTATGATGAAACTTTTTCACCAGTTGCAATGCTAAAATCCGTCCGGATCATCCTAGCGATTGTTGCATATTACGATTATGAAATATGGCAGATGGATGTCAAAACGGCCTTCCTAAATGGAGTTTTGGAAGAAACTGTTTATATCGAAGCATGCTAGCAGCAGCCTCGCACATTGCACAGCACCACGCACCGGCCATCAGCGTGCTGGGCATGCTGGGCTGTGCGTGTATGCTAGCAGGCAGCAGCACGTTATGCGTGCTAGGCCTCGCATAGCAGCAGCGCCAAGCAGCACCCACCAAGCAGCAGTGAGGCATGCGTGCTGGCTGGCTGCTCATGCATTGCGGGCTGGCTGTGCGTGTGTGCTAGCTTGCTGGGTGGGCTGCCCAACCTTGGTGCTAGGCGCCAGCTGGAAGCCTTGGTAGCCAAGGCAAGCTGCCAACCAGCCACATGGAGGAGTGGTCCGGTTTTGTGAGTGGGGACCAATGGTTGGTCTTTGCCTTGGGGAGCAAGGTGGGTTGGTCCGCTCGGTGGTCCTCACCTTCTCCCTCTCCTCCCATTGCCACTTGTAACTTGTTGATTGAATTTCAATTTTATTTTGTTTTGATTAAAATAAAATAGGGAAAATTGCAAATCTCCCACATTGATTGATAATGGGAGATCAAGGTTCATTTCCCTATAAATACCCAAGTTTTGGGATTTAGGAAGAACACTTGAGTGGAACTAAAAAGGCATCTCCTTAGAAAAGTGAGAAAACCTTAAGTTCATAAAACTCTAGTTTTTATTGGTCAAAAGTCCCGACTAACCTTCGGGACTAGGACCGTTCGGGTCGGGTTCGTGGGTACGAGCCGTTGGAGACCTTCGCATTTGCGGGGTTCAAGTTTTGAGGTAAGAGCTCAGGATTGAGCGAAGCACGCGCCAAGGGTATGAATGTCTTGCTCTTCTCTCTCTTAATTGTTGTTTAATTTGTGATTGCATGCTTAGTCGCCTTAATTAGTGGGCGGGTCTTGGGCGGGTTTCTCTTCCGCGTAGAGTCGGACTCTACGAAACCCAACATAAACCAATATCAAATTGACACATAACATTTTTATTAATTACTTATTATTAAGAAAGGGAAAGAGAACGGCAGTAAGCCGTGACTAGTCCCTATCGCCAGTAGGCCAATGAAAACCACTAGGGGAATTCTAGAGATAGGATGGACAACAAAGGGCATTTTGGGAAAGGGAATGGGGGCCAGTCGGCCAATGCTAGAGAAAAAAGGAGCTAAAAGGGTGAGAAGTCAAAAGAAAGTATTTATGCAAGCGATGTGAGAAAGACCACCTAGGGAAGGATTATGAGGGGAACCTAGTGACTTGTCGTTATTGCTAGAAGTTAGGACACCGTGAGTATGAGTGTTTCAAGAAAGAAGTAAGAGTGTTTTTAAGTAAGGGAAGGTGAAAGAGCCTAGTACTCCTACCAAGCCACCCAGTCTAGTGGACCTGCACCTAAGGTTGGAACCAGTAGCTGAGCGGGAGGTGTTTCTAAGGGTCGTATGTTCGTGATGAACAACCGTGAGGCTGAAACTTCTTCTGATGCAGTAATTGGTATTTTCCTTATAAGTTCCTTGTCTGTGAAAGTTTTATTTGATTCGGGTGCAACCCATTCTTTTATTTCTAAGACCATAGTTGAAAATCTTGGGTTAGTGAGTCCTGAATCAGCTTCTCTAGATGTGTCTATTCCGTCTGGGAAAGTGAGGAATTGTTTTAAGTTGTTTAGAAGTGTCCCTCTTTCCATTTCGAGAGTAGAATTTCAGTCAGATATAAACTAAACATGATGCGAGAGCATCGACACTACTTTTGGTCCATATTCGACAAGTGTTGACTTGACAAGAGCAGGAGCTATTTGGGCTCGATTTGAATTATTTAGATGATTTTCTTCGTATGTGGGATGCGATTTAGGTTGCGTTTATTTTAGTTATTATCTTGTAATTTATCATAGCCTTTCATTTTTGTATAATCAAGATTTGAAGAGGTTTAGAGTTTTATGTCATGTACTAATGCCTCCTTTTAAAAGGAATTCTTTAATGATGTAAAAACGAGACTTGTTTTAACTATTGAAAATATGGGAGTTTTTCCCTTCATTGAGTTCTTTGTGATTTCTCCTTTGTGGTAAAATCTCAATCTTTATCAAATTTTGTGATTATTGAAATCTATGATATCTTCTCTAATCTTTGCCATACTTTGTGTTAGGCTTTGATTAAACCCTTGTTGCATCAAACTTGGTGATTGATGTGATAAAAATTTATCTTTATTATTTGTTCTCTCTCAAATTGCATCTTGAACATTGAAGTTTGGATGAAATTGGGTTTTTGTTGGCTATTTCATATCAATTTGTTGGTTGCTTCATATCAAAACATACGTAAAATTTAGGTTACTGCAGATAGAATAATGTATTTTGATGTTCAATAATATTTGCAAAAGCAAACAATTAATATTTTTTTAAATAAAACAATGAAACAGCGCATTGTCTGGACACAAAAACTAGTTAATTACCCATAAGTCATAACAACTAATTTTTTTCATTGTTATAAGATTTCCACGACTAATAACAATCTATCACTCATCACAAAAGGCAAACCATCCAGAATTCGAAATTGGATGACGATGTACAAGCAATAGGAGCAACTAATTTCCTCGGGACCAACAGATACTTGTACTCTTCCTCGAGACCACTGTGACAAGTAAAAATCATTAAGTGAGAAACTCGAATCATCAATTGCCTCAATTTCATGTCTCTATGCAAACAAACCAAAAAAGAATATACTTCCTCTGTTTCTATTTAGTTGACGTGTTTAATTTAGGCAGGCACACATATTAAGGAGAGGAGAGAGAATAATAAAGCAAATGGAGGTACACTAGTAAATGCAAGGTATAAAACTTACCCAAAAGGAAACGTGTCAACTATATATAAACTTCCTAAATAGGAATACGTGTCAACTAAAAAAAACAGAGGTAAGTATATTTGACAATAAGCCTCGTAATTCATAACCATGACTGCCATTGTCTTTCATAATGGGTAAAAAAGCTGCCCAGTTACCTCAAGAAGCCTTATATACAATTCAACTATCCTAAACAAGTTTCTAGGAGTAGCAGAAGCATCCAACAAGTAGGGTATATATTTTTGGAAAGTGTTTTCATCAATTACTACTTGGCACCCAGAAAACAAAATGAAAAGATCTACATGACTTAATCATAAAACAACCGCCACAAGTATGCATGAATGCATCTCATCTGTGACTCAACTAAACAAAGAACCAAGAAATCATCAAAACATATTTCAACAACATGAGCCAAGAAACATGGAAAAACCTACAAGCAGTAGAGCTCAAGCAGCTGCTGATATGCACGAAACCAGACAGCATAGCTCAGAATAGAATAAATTCCAAACACCTCGTACATTAAGGTAACAATAGAAAAATAATAGGGTTTGAGGTGTAACAAATAACAATAGAGCTTGAGATGTTAAATAGCTCAGCATAGCATTTTACAGATGCTATGCCCGAATAGCTCTGCATAGCATTTTGGTCATTATCATTTTAGTAATTATTGACATACCACTGAAAATAAAAACAAATCGTAGTGCAAAGATTTGTGTTCATCAACAGCTAAAGTTCTCAATGTTCAATGGGATATAGCATCTGATGAAGATCAATGACACTACAACCTGAGTTCTCATCTTTTTTTTTTAGAAGAAACCTGAGTTCTCATCTAATGCACAGTGTGTATACAAACAGTACACATATTACGCAAATTTCTTTCTTTTATTTATTATTAACATGGAACTATGAAAAGGGAAAAAAAATCAGAATTTAGACACTTGTACATCATCACTGTAGGCCCTTTCTTTCTGACCATCATTAGTTTCCGCAGAAATTGATGTGAAGTTGTAGTTACCCCTTTGTTGGGAAGTTTATCATCAATTAACCAAAAATAAACAAACTAACCCTAATTTTCACTCTCTTATCACCAGATCTCACATTTCTCTCCCCACTCTCCTCCCCTACTACCCATCCATTTGTTCCCTTCCCGCACTCTCTCCTCCAGCCTCATGTTTCCTCCAACAAATCACCTTAATTGGTAGTGGTTGGCCTGGGTGCTAGTGGCAGCTGTGGAGGTGAGCATGGTGGCTGCCTGTGCTAGGTTTTGTAAAGTGTTGGTGGGTTTGTTGCATATGTGAGTTAGAGGAAAATTGGCTGCAATTATGAAGTTAATCGCTTTTGCCTTAATGTGTGCCCTTAATGACCATAAACCTAAAGATAGAAAGAAGAGAGCAGTACTTTTACTATCCCTTGGACATATTATATTCAGTGCCCAACTTACAAAAGTTACCCGACAGCTATAAACTAATTTTAGCAATCCAAATCTAAAATCAAATATTCAAACGGGTATATAATGTTGACAGAAGAAAACATGGCAGTACCAAATTCATGCAACCTAGTAAACAAGAAAGAGACAAAAGCAGTGCGAAAATAAAAGGGTGTCAATGTAGATGCAATGTGAGGAAGATGATAGATCATCAAGGAAAAACCTACTTTATCATCTTCCTAGGTAACTGCAAAACAGTCCCATGACATATTAAATGCTCATCTAACATGTAACATCCTAGGAATGAAAAAATATAAGCACCTATTATATCAGGTTTTACCTTACCCAGGAACTCAACACCCAGTCAATTCTCACATGTAGGAGCAAGCAGCGTAAGAAGTCACAAACACCGTATAAAAGAAAGATAACTACCCCTCAAAACCCACCAGACAGCAATCTTGATACTGAGGATCGATCCTTGGTACTCCCAACCCACCCCTCGCCCAACCCAAATCCTCTTCCACCATTGGTCAAGTCAAAAAGTACTTAAAGTTTACAGTCGCTCACATTGAAAAATAAATAGTTACAAACACTGAAACACATGTGTGGCCTCTTGGCAAATCATAAGTTATGATCTTAAAATGCGCCTCTAGAACAAAAATCTGCTTCCCCCACCATAGCATGAGCTATGCTATGAACTTAATCAACAACTACAGTGATGCACAAAAGAGCATACAAAAAAGGTATACTCCCACACTTGCTTTCCTTGTTTAGAAAAGGAAAAGTTGTAGGCTAAACCTACTAAAGAGAGTTGTAGGTTAAACCTACTTTTTTGTATATGCCCTTGTTTATTTCAATTAGAGCTCAAATCTTCCTCCCTCGTTCATTTCTATTTCTTCTTATTATTGCCATTACTGTTTTCTGTGAGCCTAGTTGCAGCGGGAAGATCCGTGGTGGTTGAGTCCATCACAGAATAAGCTTCAGTCAAATATCTTATGAATTAACACATGCGAACAAGCACAACAAATAAGTCCTTAATAATTGTTAGGTCACATTTAGCCCTTTTCTAATTGAACAATGCAACATAGCACAAGCACAGGTTCTACACTATGAAGCACGATGAATGTAAGATTTGAACATAGTACTACATTAGCACAGCAGAAAATAGCCGAACACCATCATGACCTTCACAATGAAATATGAAAATTCTACACCTTCATAGGGCTACCAAATAACAAAATGATACAAGACTCGAAAACTAATCTCGCGTGCAAAATTTTTGGAACAATTATCTACTATATATTGTTAATCTATTAATTCTATTACAAGGAGCATTTCCAATACTTTAAACAGCTTACTAATAATAAGAAAAATTTAATCTTTTGTTCTTAAAAAAAAGTGAGAGTATTATAGTTGGTAATGGCTAGATCGCTCTAAAATGTAGCAATTTTTTACATTGTAAAAATATTGGATCTCCCATTGAGAGAATGATATTCATATACATTGTGAAAATTTTAAAAGAGTTGGATTGATTCTCCACATTACGTTGAGATTCATTCTACTATTGCAACATAATTTTTATTTACACATATTTGGCTTACATTCAATCAAAGAGGAATCCCGATATGTAGTTGAATGGAACAATCCTTCAACAATTTTTTAAAGAAAGATTAACAAACCTGTTAGCCCGTGCATCATAAACACTACTGAATAGTTTGTTTTAATAGGCAAATGTTTTGTTTCTACTTTAAAAGACGACATACTTGATTGATCCTCCCATTAAAAAAATATTTTACAAACAATTTAACCCACTGGCTAAATACTAGTTGTTAATCAAGTGGGGACAATTTTATCAATTATGTACTAAAATCTTCCATAATGACATTTGATTTATGAAATCATTAATAGCCCTACTTGAAATACATGATCGGAATTAGAAATGGCTAGTACAACTAATTGAAAAGTTTAATTATTTAATTTCTTTTAACACCCAAAATTTATTTATAAATAATAAATAACAAATCTTTTAGAGAACAAATCATTTACTCCATTTGCATATACTTACTATGAATGAACGGGAAAAACAAGGTTAAGTGAAAAAAATTAAAAATAAAATAATAAAAATAAAAAAATAAAATAAAAAAACTGTTTATCAAAAGATTTTAATAATTATGTGTGAACTTATTACTTCCTCTGTTTTTTATTAGATATATCACTTTCTAAAAAGGGAAGTTTTAATTTCGATGCATCACTTTACTTTTTAGTTAATAAACTCTACCCTATCACATGGGTCCAGTTTTTTCTTTCTATGTATCTCTCTCATCATAAATTGGTTGGAGTCAGCAATTTTAAAAGTGATGCAACTAATAAAAAACGGAGGAAGTAATTTTTCACTAAAGCTAATGTTTTAACGTATTTTTTACTTTTTTTAAACATCAATCCTGATTTTAATACTTAAAAATTCTCTATAATACCGCACGCATCGCATGCACAAAAAACTAGCAACATGTTAATAGACGGAGGGGGGAGAAGAGTACCTGCTTGCTAAACAGAGAGGAAATGAAGCACCTCGTAAGTCTGCGGAAGTTCAAATGAGTAGGAGTCGCAGGCCTTGACGATTACGGTTTCACTAGTGTCTAGCACTTTGAACTTGAAAAAGACAATTTCGATAGTAGATACAGTAGGTGCATTATCTACGGGTATCCAACCAGCAAAGCACAAATTATTGTTGCCTAAATGAAGCATTGCATCGAAGTGTATCCTTTCGACATTCATATCAACTTTGTCCTTAAAGCACGAATCCCACCGGACGTTCAACCATTTTTTCTTGGCTATATGAAATGCACAAAGAAGAGATGGGAATTTATGGCAGTGAAAGTATATCACACCATTAACAACAGCGGCAGAATCAGCCCAAATTGGGAAATCAGGGGTGAGACATTCCCATGTCCCAATACCATCAACATCAACAGGAGGAGTGAAAGCATACAGGGAAGGCAATGAAAGGGGACCACCATAGATGCGCATAAGAATGCGATTGTTGGAAGGGTCAGGAAGTACAGGAATAGACACACTACAACCGACAAGGCTTGTAGGGATAGGGCTGATTAGCTTACAGTGGCCAACGGTAGGGTCAAGAACCTCGGGCGCAAGGCGATTAGATCCAAAGTTGTAAATCTTGCCAAGAAAGCTAACATAGTTGAAAGAAGTGCAATCCTCAATGAAGACAGGAGATGGACGCCACACTGCAGCCTCATCAGACATGTCAAGACTAGAACCACCAAAGTAGTGTGTACGGTTGGATAAGGGAGATGCAGATTGGAGTCGTTGGATGAAAGGTGATCGTGCTATAGAACTTGTCACACCTCCCACTAAGTAGATGCATTCATTCAAAGACACCATGGCATTTGTAACCTCAACCATGATCAGTGAAGGAAAGCAACAACGAGTCAATTTATTCTGCTTCAGATCCACCGAGTGAAAATCTACACATCCAAAGTAGAGGCTTTCAGTTCCATCTTCTAGTCTATCCACAGGCGGCCTTTGAACGTTCAGTGCCAGCATTAAAATCCTTTTTTCCTCTCCTTGGCCTCTTCGTGATCCGCTACTCTGCTCTATTTCTATCTCCATATCCCTATACACCAAGCAGCCGATAGGATAATCAAACAAACTGGAAACTTACCCTTTAGAGAGAAAATTTGACAAACTTAAAAAGAATTAACATGGAGTTTAATGCATTTATTTCTAAAATCAAATATTCATTAAGCTACTAGAAGTTTGGAAATCACAAATTCGAAATATGGGCATATGGTAGCAGACTTTGCCACTTCATATATCTGTATAATTATAAACCTAAACTAGTTTTTATAAATAAAACAGACTGAATTATAAGAGTATGTGTGAGGGAGGTGGGGAGGAAAGCAAAGAGCATTGAACATGGCATATGTAGGGAATTACATGATACACGTCAGGTGGGGATAAATCAAGAAACAGTCATACAGTCCTAAAAGTGAAAGACTAAGCACAAGCAAGCAACCAACAATATTTACAGGTGCAATCAAATGAGCATAACCAATAAGAATCCCGACTCTCCTTTTATAAGCCTATAATGATGTATGAACCCACCAGAATCCCCTGCCTTCTTACTATTGAGTTCATATAGATAGAGGTCATCCAGTAGAATTTTTTAATAAGGAAAAATTCATGGGAATAATCCCACCTTTGGGCCATTCGATTTTAATAATCCCGCCTTTGGATTATTTTTTAATAATCCCACCTTTACCCCCCGATCTTTTTAATGGTCCCAACCAGTCACGTAACCTTTTATAACAGGTTACATGACACGTGGCGGCCTGTGATTGGTCAAAAAAAAACCAAAAAAAAAACAAAAAAAAAACAGAAAAAAATTAACAAAAAAAAAAAAACAGCCAACCACCAGCCCAGGCCAGCCCCCTGCCGCCGGTACCTGCTCCGGCAGGCGCGCCGGCGCCTCCCTCCCCTTCCTCTCCTGCTTCTCTCTCTCCTCTCTCTTCCTCCATGATCACTCCATCACAACCACCACCAGGGAAATGGCCGAACTGAACTCCCCACCCACGTCCATTTCCGTCCCGGCAGCCACTCCATTACCCTGCCTCAGCCCCGACAACCACCCCTCCCCCTGCCCCACCGCCGAAACCACCCACATCTCAGTACAAAATTGCCTTTTGGCTTTCATTAACTAGTGTCTTGACTTTTTGTAATTCAAGTATAAATCTCAGTTTCCGCTCTCTGTAATTCATCTTTGTTTAACTAAATTAATTCATTCTGCTCACCTACCCACATCCCTCATCTACCCTCCTAAAAAATTATACTTTTCTGAACCTTTTTTATTCTTTCATTAGCAAATTAATTACCCTTGAAAAAGAGCAGATTTCTTACAAAGAGTGTACAATTTCAGTTTTTCTTTGCAATTTCAGTTTTACCCTAAATTATGGCTCATACAATTATTTTGGGATGAAAGAAAGAAATAACTAAAATGGGAAAGAGAGATTCATAATTTGAGAACAACAAGAAAGAAGAACAGCATAAGTCCACAACACGAGCAGGCCCGTACCTGAGGCAGGGCAGGAGGGGCGGCCGCCCTAGGCCCAGGGAAAAGAGATTTAATTTCATATTGAATTATCTCGAAAAATATATAATTTTAGGGATATTTGATTCAATAATCAAATTACGCTCATAATTTTCTTTTCTTTTGGATATGATGTTTCATAATCTAAAAAATTTACGAACCCTAAATTTAAAGCACTGATAATTAAATTAGATTAGATCAAATGTAAACCCTAGATTGTGAAATTGATGTGATGATAACAACAACAAACAACTTACCTTAGAAGCTGCTTCAATGGGGGATACAAGAATTAGATTCAATGGAGAACGCTTCAGTGGAGAACGTTGAGTGCGCTTCAATGAAATAACTCAGAGAGGTAGGAAATAGGAATGGAGGCCTTTAAAAGCCATGACCCCCGTAGTTATAATATGGGTTGATAAATAAATGGGCGGATCTTTATATGATTATCAGATGGGCTTTATAAAAGTTTTCAATAAACATATTTTAAATAATAATAATAATCTAATCTAATATATATAAATAAAGTAGGCATTTTTGGAGAGCATTCGGAGCGCCACGTAAGAAATATACTTATTTCGACCAATAAGAAAAAAAATTTGTATTTTATTTTTGAATTAAAAAATTATGTCGCCACCTAGATAAAAGTAACTAATTAGTTTGATATATCTAAAATTTTAATGCCACGTAAATTATAATCAACGAATTAAATTATTTTAACGAAAAAAATAAAGTAAAAATATAGAAAAAGATAAATTTATTAATTCAATACTACGAGTATAAGGAATCCAAAAAAAAATATACTAAAAAATATTTAAATGATAAACGCTTATAATAAAGTTTGATACCTATCATTATAAGATAAATTTTGATAGTATTTATGATAAGAAATACAAATTGTTCGTTAATTATAATTAAATTAAAATCTGTGATACCTACCATTTTTTAAATTGACACATCATACGACACAAACAAAATTTCGTATCAATAAAAAACCCCATCAAGCGGATTTTGTGTTAGTAATTTTGTGTTAATTTTTGGTCATCAATGGCCGGGTAATTTGTAGCTTAATTTTTAAAATCCTATATTTAAATTAGTATTTCTAATTATTACTTACATTGTATTAATTTGGGATACTCAACGCTTATATGTTTATGTTTTATTTACTAAATGTTTTTTTACATGCAGATCTAACACATCATACGACATAAATAAAATTCGTATCAATACAAAACCCCATCAAGCGAATTTTGTGTTAGTTTTAGGTCATCAATGTCCGGGTAATTTTTAAAATCTTATGTTTAAATCTATATTTGTAATTATTAGTTACATTGTATTTATTTAGGATACTTAACGATTATTTGTTTATGTAATGGCATACGATTAGATGTTGTATACTTAATATATGGATGGCTTTGGTTATTTTTGGAGATGATGAAAAAATTCCAATGCATAGATTTGATTTTTATATCGCAACAATTTTTCATTTATTGGTAAATATATTGAATTATTTTATATAAATGTAAAGATTTAATTTGTATCAATTTCAGTTTGGCTAACATTTCACGGTTCAATTTATCCATTAATGTAAAAGATATGGTAAAACAATGAATAATGATTTAGGATTTAAATTATTAAAAATTTATCATTTCACATTAAAGATTTTATATAACGGAAAAAGATATCATGTTTACAATTTATTTATATTTAATATATTCATTATAAATTACAGTAAAAAATAAATATTAAACTTTTGTAATTTTTTCCGAAATTATAAATACAATAAATCAAATAATTAAAAATCTTAGATGAAAAAACCGTGCATCGCACGGGCTTCCATCTAGTAATAATATATAATGAGCCTATTCAAAATTCTAGACAATGTGGTTGATGACATTCATAAAATGTTGAGCCGTTTTTGGTGGGGTCTCACTCGAGCTATCGTAAAGTACATTGGCAGAATTGGGATAAGCTCTGCGCTCCAAAGTCAATGGGTGGTCTTGGCTTTCGCGATCTTCACTGGTTTAATCTGCCACTGTTGATGAAGCAATTGTGGAGATTTTTGATGAACCCTCATACACTGTGCTTTAAACTAATGAAGGCAAGCTACTTTAGAAGAACTAGCCTTTGTGAGGCAAAGCATGGGTATGACCCAAGTTACATTTGGAGTAGTCTGTGGAGTGTTCTTGGTCTGTTCAAGGAAGGTTTGGGGCGTAGTATTGGTGATGGAAGGGATACGATGGTATGGAAGGATAAGTGGGTGTTTGACAATGAACTATATATCAGCCTGCAAAAACCGCCAAGTGCTGATGATGGTTTGACTATATACGACCTTATGCACGAAGGGGAACAGCGGTGGAATGTGGAGAAAATTTCTGGTTTGTTGGGACATGTGACACCTTCGGTCCTTGCCATCCCATTATCCCAACATGCTGCGAAGGATGGCTATTTCTAGATGGGTACGAGATCAGGCATGTACACTGTGAAAGTAGGTTATTGGCGGGCTAGGGAGGCGAAGGGTGGTGTTGGATTGATCCTTACCGTGGATGACTGGAGATCAGTGTGGCGTCTGGCAGCCCCCCCCCCCCCTAAGCTACAACATTTTCTATGGAATGCCATCAGGGGTAATATGGTAGTGAAGGCTCGCTTAGCTCAAAGATACGTTACCTCAGAGGCGGTCTGTCAAATTTGTGGTGGAGAGGTTGAAAATATTATGCACGTTTTCTTCAACTGTAATTATGCAGTAGATATTTGGAGATACAGCGATTTTGGTGATTTGTTAAATGATGCTCCTGCAGACTCATTCCTTATGCGCTGAGATGGCTTCGGGAAAAAATAAACAATGCTGATCTTCTGAAAATCGATGCACTCTTATGGGCTAGTTGGAGATGCAGGAACTTGCATATCTTTGAGCATACACAACCCAATGCCGTGATGTTAGCTGCAAACTACAGCAACTGGGTTGCTGATCATATGTTGTATGCTGCGAAATTGAGCTGCCAGCCTCACAGAACAGCTGGTGCGTGCTAATGCCAGCAGGTGGTCCTGTCCTCCCCACGGTGTGATTAAGGCTAATGTGGACGCGCATAGGCCACATGAAGGTAGTGCAGGGTTGGGTGCTGTGTTCCGGAATGCAAAAGGTAGTATTGTCTTGGCTGCAACAAAGAGTGTCGCTTCTTCAACTCCGGAATGCTTGGAGGCGCAAGCTGTTCGTTTTGCATTGAACTTGGCAAGAAGATTTGGTTTCTCAAAGCTGTGGGTCGAAACCGATGCCTTGAATGTTGTCAAGGTATTATCGACTCATGGTATACCCGGTTTGGCTCCTATGTTTAGAGTTATAATGAGATTGTGCTAGATAGAGCTTGTTTTGATTATTGTATCTTTTCCCACGCTAAGAGGTGTTGTAACACTTTAGCTCACCTAGTGGCTAGGGGGGATACAGAGGGGAACTCGGAGGTCATCTGCTTTGGGTCTTTCCCTCAAAGTTATGTATCGTTAGCTATGCTGGATTTGGTTGATTAATATTAATGCTCTATCTTCCTCTCAAAAAAATAACTATATACTAAAAGACACAGCAGCAATGACACGTGTCATTTCTTGGTGTGTCCTTAATTTTTTTTTTTTTTGAAAGAAAAGAAAATCAATCATAGAATAAAATCTTATACGAAAGTAATTTATTATATATGTTAATAACAAAGATAATTACTTTAAATATAAAAGATTTGATTTACCTTTTCACACAAACATTTATGACTATAATATTAATATGATTTGCGACATATAATGATTTACTACACGAGAGTATTTATATATTTTCCCCCTAAAGTTGTTTATTTATTGATTAGAATTCACAATAGAGTAGTGCATATACTTTTACTACCCCTTGAATGATAATAACCCCGCTCTTTCCCTTCTCTAAGTGAAAATGAGTTATTGTATTAAATTATTTTATATTATTTATGGAAACATTACTATTTACTACCTTAATACATAAAAATTAGTTTGACTATACTTCATAATATTAATATAAACACACACAAAAATCTCATGAAGATCAATATTACAGTATTATTTATTGCCCTCATCCAAAACATGTTGATACTATATATAATTATATCTACACATCAATATTTCAATTACTTAATAGATGATTTTATTACTTTGTATTTAAGAATATCAAATTATTCAATTTATACTTATTAGATATATCCACTTATCTTTCATATTTTAATCAAAGATTGTCCATAGTGTTTTTAGATTTTTTGTTTTATTGTTGTAAAATAATCAATTATATTGAAAAGTTGATATTAATTTTTTAAAATTGTCGTGCATGGCACGAGACCTAACCTAGTTTTTAATATTTCCATACACCAAAGCTTGTATAAATTCTTTGTAAGTTTTTTGGATTTTTTTTTTTAAAAAAAAAAAAAAACAGCTGAAATTACATTAATTAAACTGAGTTTGCAACAAACGAAAGGACAGTAAAGTAACATAAGTTACTATTAGCATAAGAAGCCCCTACACAACACCAATTAAGGTCATTAACGATATTTACCTTTAAGCTATTACAACGAGTGAGGACAACACATATAAGGCTTACCAATATACATTTAAACATGCGATAGAACTATTGATAGAACAAGGGAAGTTGGTGATGATGTTTCGTGTAGTGCAAGGTATTTTCTAACATACAACTAAAAGTCTATGAATGTTGCTGAAATGACGGAGACAACCCAAAATCAGTATACCTTACCCTTAGGGACCCCAATAATTCAAATGGATAAAATTTTCTTGAGATCTATGCTTCATACATGTCAATCACATTTCTTGCGATCTGACAAAACCATATCTTATACTCCCTCCGTCCCATAAAATTGTTCCTATTGTGTTTTTTTCACGGTATTTAAGAAATGGGAGGAAAATTGGAAAAAAGCTAGACAAAAGTTAGACAAAAGTACAAGGCAAGTGGATAATTTAAGGGAAAAAAAGTAAAAAGTACAATTATAGACAAAAGTTAGAGAGAGAAAGTGAAAAAAGTATAATACAAGTGGATAAGTTAAGGGTAAATTAGGAAGTTCAATGAATAAAGTAAAAAAATAAGGGTATAATGGTCTTTACATACTATCCCAAAATAGAAATAGGAACAAAATTTTGGGTCTCTAAAATAGGAAACATAAACTATATTGTGGGACGTAGGGAGTATATATTCTCATACAAGGTCATGATGTTGTAATGACTTTTACCGTTATCACATACAAATGGGTTTAACTACACCTACTACCATCCTCCTTCAACAAGGGTTTATGTAAATCTAAAATTGAAATTTTGCTACATCTCCCAACAAACATAAGTAACACCACTTCCATTAAAAGGAACACATTTTTTATTAAAACTAGAGAGATTAAAAAGGGCAATTCC